AAAGAGAGAGAGAGAGAGTGGGAGAGTGAGAGAGAGAGAGAGAAAGAGAGAAAGAGAGAGAGCAGGAGCGAAGGAGAATCATCAAAACGATCGTGATGGTGCGATGGTAGGCTACAGGTCTACTATCCGCGACCCTGATCGGTGACCCTGGCGGTTTTTAGAAGCGCCTCGCTGCGATCAGCGTTAGATTGGCGGCCGACACGAGGGTGCTGACGTTGTTGCTCGTATTCGTGGCTCCTTGGCTGGTGGTGGGTCACTTCTTACTCTTCTTGGTGGGCGGCTCCTGCACGTCTTGTGAGTCTTCGGTATCCTCGCTGTCTGTCGGTCGCGGCGTGTTGTTGCTATCATCGTTGTCGTTCGTGGCGAGGGAATCGTTCGTGTCTTCGCTGGCGACGGCCACTGTAATCGGCGTAGCGGGTTTATCCATCGAGTCTTCGGTGAAGGACGTGGTCATGCTGTTCTCGTCGATGGCCGCCGGATCAATACTGCCTGGTTCCTTACCGTTCACTGCCACTTCCTGATTGCTGTCGTCCGACGGTTCTGTCGCTTCGCCGTTGCTGGGCGGATGAGAGTTGCCGTTCTCTGTGGAGCCTGGAATGCCGTCCAGTAGCTCTGGCTTCAGCTCGGACGCCACGTAGTGGGTCCATAGGGCGAGCTCCACCCTATGGGGGCTCCATGTTTTGCCATTTGACGCTGGAATAAACAAAACGAAGAAACGAATTTTAAAACGTTCATTCGATACGATGCGAATCGTCGAAATGTCGATGTTTGCTCGAAGATATCTCTTCACCGAGTATGGGGGTTATATAATATGTCCTAGTCGACGAAACCGATTGATAGTGACACGTTGATACGAATCCAAATACAGAACCTGACACGTGTTTGAACATATGTATTCCGATAATAGATGAAGAGTTTTACAAGGTAAATCAGACCTATGAAAATTTATACCCGAGTAAAGTATCTTTTCCTTTTTTTTTTTCTCTTTTTACTTGTCAGGCAAGTTTGCAAGGAAACTCTGCTCGGTGATTAACGACGATGACTGGGTAAACGTATTAACAGAGACACTCACTTTGTTTGTTCAGCCTCTCCACGGTATTTTGAATGTGCTGAACAAAGTTGAGGTACTCCTTGATAGTATAATCGATGCCATCGATTTCCGGTATTGCCATCAGACATTCGTCCGCCATAAAGGGCGCACTCTCCGGTGATGCTGCTGCCAATAGGGCCGACGCCATCGTGGTGCCTACTCCTTTCAAGTTCGAGAGGGCAGTAATCGCCTGTTCAATGTTCGGAAGCTTTTTGAACGCCTTCTTCGTTTCCGCCATCACTGCACGGGGGGTGTTCACTTTTATTAAATAGGACACTTGAGGATAGAACTTCCCACGCTGCAAATATAAAGACAATTACGCGTTTAAAAAAAGGAATCACGACGTGGTAGCCTAACTAGTTAAAAGCCACGAAAGAATCATTTCCTTTTCCATTCGAATCGTCGACGCTTTTGGTGTGTGAGATAGACGGTATACGAGTTACACACTCTTCCAAGCTGACGTATATATTATTCAAGACAGCAGATTTAAAACTCGTAAAACGTCAATTGATTCGGGTTATCCGTGTGTTTTAATTTGAAACAGTAATAAAATAAGGAAAAAGAATATTTCAGTGTATTAGAGTCTGATCCAGGTCCTTCAATTTCCCACTTAAACAACTGTCTTACTCTCTTAATGCAAGTTCAATAAACTCGACTTATATTCGTAGTGGATCATGAAGATATATAAATCAATTGTATATCTTTAAAATTATCGAGCGTCTACATCTAATACTTCACATATATCACTAGGAACCTATATACCACCGTCCTACAAAAACCAGTTGAAACAGAAGTCATTAGGCTCCTTCCTCGTAAGTGGGCCTATAGCCCTAAGATATCAGTCTGTGCCTCTACTCGATGATTTAATTTACGACCTCTCGCCACATAGTGGCTGGCACTTATATCATTGCGCTGTCATCAATTCTCTTTCATCGGAACGTGAAACTGCAACTAACCGTAATCGTTCTCTTCTCTCTTCGGTAAAGAAAAATCGAGTCACAAGAAGTTAACTACGTCTAATCTCCAAAAAATCGAAATAGACTATGTTAGAAATCCACTCACTATTTGCTTCCATTTCATCGTTTGCACCAGTTCCTCGTGATTGAGATGCGCGTCCTTGCCGCGTGACTTGATCCTCTTTGGAAGCTCATTCTGATACCTGTGAACAGAAAACGTCACCGGATGGTCAGGCAAACGCTCATGTGCAAGCGGAACGTTAGGGTATGCAAGATCATGGTTATAGGGACCGATTACGTAACCAGCTGGAACGTGGAACATAGGAATCGCGGAATACTGATTAAAAATGCAGCCGCAAGAAGCGGTTTTCCACCTACTGATGCTCACGTGGGCTGAGCTGACAGCGGCATTGGAACACGAGCCAAATCGAGGACACGTTCGCCACGTTGGGTTTTCCAATATCCTGTCAAACTTCCTTCTACTCTATTTCTATATTTTCCTCTATTTTAACATCCTCTAATCTGCAACCTATGTTTACCTCTTCGTTACAATTACCATCCGTAACTATTCCGATGCTGATTAGTTTGTAATGTGCAATTTTATGCTAACTCGTTATTGGTTTGAGTTTACTGGATTAGCCTTTCTACCAAGTTGGAAGAAGCCTCTTCGTTGGATTCATAATCGAGGTAACAAACGTGTCGGCTTGACAACTACCAGTTTCATCAATGTGTATATAACGACAACAAAGGGCAAAATCGTTAAACCAAGATTGGATATTAATTATGCTCCAAACACCTTCGAATACCGCTCGTCTAGCTACTAATTGCATCCTCCTCCAACCTTCACCTCCACTCTGGATTTTCATAATTTAATAATCGTCTAACTTTAATATTCGCTGATCATAGGGCCGTGTGTTAGTTTATTTCCATAAATTTGAATGCATTTAAATACGAACCGTTGATAAGGGACCACCTCGAATCCGAGCCGATTTCGCGTGCAACTTGGGCAGGATTCGTGGAGAAACGTATATATTTGTTTGTCTCCCACCCCTCCGTTTTCGTCTTTCCTTTTTTCGAGAATCTGGTTTTCGTTTGGTGGCAAACGTCCCGGTTCAGGTAACGTTTCCTCTTTTTCCCACCGCTCTTTCTTTGTCCCCATTATTCGGGTCATCGACACGGGACAAGTTCTCTGTTCTTCGGTGGCTGCATCCGTGAAACACGGCCGTGCAACGAGAGGAATAGAGAGGGGTGGCACTCTGCAGCGTGGTTTTATTGTAGGTACTTTCGGAGGTCGCTTGAGATCAGCTGTTTGGCTGAACGGCTAAACTTAGTTACGGATAGTTTGTATTCCATTCATATAATACGACACTTGGACGCGTGTTTCCTTCAATTACGGCTACTCGGTCGATGCGCTTTTCGAAAGAAAGCACGTGGATCATCCATGGGCCTGGTAATTAGCCAGCTAAGGTAATTGGAACGGATGAAGTCGATGCGTGTAATTCGTAATCACGTTTGGTCTTTTTTCCCTTCGTATGCACTTGCTTCTTTATTGATGAGTGTATATATATATATATCGATGTACAATATATATATAATAAGTAGGACATGCGTACGTTGAGCGTAACTTTTAAGATTACGAAGATTATAAAGATACCATTGAGCTTGTCTGATGAAGATCCAAGTGGATATTTTACGATGCAAATTATTTTTGATAAAACTGTAAATATTCAATGCAATTACTTCATAACACGTGAAAGTTAAGTTGTATGTTTCTATTTCTTGATTACTAGCTTCAATTTATGTATAGTTAGCTGCGTGCCATGAATTGTTACATAAAATAAATTATAGTATGTGCATAATAATGTAATAATAATTTCGTGTTTTATATGTAAGAATTCCTTTGCATTTTTCATAAGTAATCACGCCCTTCTTTGTAATTAGTTCCAGAAGATTTTCTCCTACTTTTTCTCTTCCTTTATCACTTTTAAGAATCCCAACAAGATTAAAGAAAATTACGAATTACATGTTACAGCGAAACGTTGATTTCTTGTTAAAATCTTGAAAGAAAAAAGGAACGGCACACCTCTTTTGCTTTTATGGAACGTGGCGAAGCGATTCTCAGCATGTTTCCAGCTCGCACGCTGTGGCTAAGAAGCAAGGATAGAGCGACGGAATGGTTCGAAGATTAGGATTTTTGGTTTGCGGTGAATCTCGGACGATAATGAAGCGTATTATCACGAAAAGAGGAAGGGTATCGGGGAAACCGTAGCAGTTGGTTTGTCCCACAGCCAAAAGTAATTTCTCAAACGAGAGTTCAACTGCCGTTCCTCTCCGTTATTTCTTCTCTTCTTTTTTTCTGTTACTTTTGTTGCCCTTTCCTCGCAATAAAGCGTAGATAAGAATACAATGGATTCTTTTCCGGGCAAAATAAACCCAGCCAGATATTCCAATAATAATTCACCGAAACTCGCTAGAACGAGAATTTCTAAAAGGCAGATGAGTTTTGGATTTGACTGTAACAAATGTTCAAGATTGTAAATCAAATTGGTGTAAAAAAATTCTTAAAAAGAAAGAAAAAATAAATTGGATAAAGAATAACAAAAGTTGTATACAATCTGGTAAATCTTTCTGTATATACCCACTTTACGTGAATTTTTATTCTATTTCTTATTATTACCTCGTTGTTATATTACAAATATTACTTATTAGCTTTTCTTCTCTATTTCTTATTTCTGCACCAGTATTTCTTACGTTACTTATAATATATGTTAGCGCCTATATATATAGGGTGTATGTCTGTAAATAAATAAATAAATATATAAATCGATAAAAAGGTGTATGATAGAAAACAAGGATTACTTGGTAAAAATAAAAGGTTTCTACTATTTTCTTTGAAAAAAGAAGCGAGATATTGGATTGCTTCTCTTCAACTGGCTTCGAGTTAGAAAGTATAGACAAAGAAGCCCCAAAAATGACTTACGGTCACTTGATTCTCGTCAATCGTTGAATTAATACTAAACGTAGGCGTTTCTTGTGATTTCCAGGGGAAATCACACCTGTCTCTATAAGGATGAATATATTTCATTAAAGGAAATGGTATTCGTTTGATCGTTAAATGGCTTTAACTGATTTGCCGCGGACCTACAGGAAATTCCAAAACCTTACAAGCTCATGACGCAACCATATATGGATTTGCTATAAGCTACTACTATACAGACCATTATTATAACCCACGAAGTATAGAAGTATATTTAAAGACACGTAGACAAATATATCTGTAGTCAACATAACCTACAATTAATAACAACTTTAGCCACTTACACTTTCCTCTTCTTCCTTAAAAGAGAAAGAAAGCTCCGTTTAACAAAGGATCAAACGATCGAAATGAAAAGCGACGCGCGATATCCGCATCGTTATTCAACGCCGATTGTCCCCGTAGAAAGTCGAAAAACAATCGTCCGAGTGGCGTAACGGTGTATTTCTTTGGTACGCTTCTTTTGAGCCATAGCTCGAAACCTTTTCAGGACGGAGGCTCGCGCAACCATTTTGAGAGGCTCTCGCACGCCACGCAACGCGCGCAGCTCCCCGCGAAAACAACCTTGACACAATCGCCGGTGCTTTAACGCCGAGTAGGAATTGTGCCTCGCGAGCCTTATTCTTCCACCTCGCTTCTACGACGATCCTCTGGGCTCTTTTATTCTTCCTTTATCCCCACTATTCCCCCACACCTGCTGGTAATCCACGAATATTTCGCGAATTCCAAGAGAACCAGTCTTGGAAACCAAACGTGCACGGGACCGTGCCTTCGCGACGGGCTTATTTTCACAGGCGTTTTAAAACACCACGTTGCCAAATGCACCGGCACGAATCGTTTCTCGGCCGATCATCGTTGGAAATGCGTCCAAGGGGTTAACGGAGGAACGAATTTGCGAATGGCACGGAACGGAACGGAACGGAACGGAACGGAACGGTATGAAATGGAGAAAATGGGAAACGGAGAAGATAAAGTACACGAAAGGAGCTCGCGTGATAGTTACTTGGGTTTTCTAGTTGTGATTCATGAGTCTCTTGTTTGATTCATCGGCATGTTTGTGCCGGATTATTGAAGTAGGTAGGTGTTAGGGTTTTTTATCCAGTTAGATGAGTCTAGCGTCATATAATCATATTATATGACTATACTATTCAGGGTTTCCAAAGGTTATTGAAATTTCTGAAAAATTTTATTTGCCCGATGCTTTTATCGAAAGATTCGATAAATACCAAGGATGAAATATTTAGAAATTTCATATTTCAAAATTCAGATATCCTAGTAATATAGTTACAGGAATTTTCTGGTTTTATTATAAAGCCAATTACTGGAATTTTTCCGAGATTTCAGTTAACCAAATATTTAGAAAAATAAGCGAACACAAGAGATTAAATACCTTTAAAAATGTCTGCGTTTAATTTTCGAAACCCAATCTTCGTAATATCGGTATTGAAATTTTTCAGGAAATTGCGACGAAATCGATCTTTATCGATTAAAGAGTAAAATCCCCAATATGGTTAACCTCGTCGTATCACCGCAATCTATTCAAATCTTACATCAATCCAAATTCCTATAAAACGTTTCCACGCGATATTAATTATTGGAACTGAGATGCTACATGTAAATAGGTAATTATGAAAGTGAAAATATCGAAATCAGCGTAAATAGGTAAATATGAAAGTGAAAATATCGAAATCAGCGTAAAATGAACATGATGGAAACAAGTTTGAGAACTCTCAGAACCTTAAGCTCATGACGATGACTATATTGTCGAAACTTGTCTGTTCACACAGTTCACGGTTGACGAAATCAACGTAGCCATAGAAACGCAGCGAAGACGATGAAACACGTCGATTTATCAGGATCACAATACGTAGAAGAAACCTGGTAACGATGACCGGGACGACGAAATTCGATCGCGGACCGTTTGACCCGGACACTTCCATCGTTTTAACGAAGTCGTGAATCAGCGAAAATGTTTCCACCAAACGTGGTTGCGTATAATAAACGGAAAATCCGATAATATAGGAAAACATAATGGGATCGCCGATTTACACCCGTTTTCTCCATCGACTTACGAAGGGATCCATACTCGTTTCTTTGCTTTCGGTACCACGTTGCCCTCGGGTTTCTTCAAACTGCGAACCGGAAAAGCGTAATTTCACCATGGCAAAAACTTGCGGTTTGCCCGCTAGCAAAAGTTGCTTTCCACCTGTCCCTTGTTGAAGAAAGAATTCTGGTTATTGGAGGTGAGACAGTCGATGCACTTTGTAATTTTTGGACAGTCAATATTATAATTTTTGCAGTACGGAATAGGAATTTAGGATTTTTTTTTTATTCTTACGTGGTTATTACGAGAAGGTTAAACAGGTGAAGCATTGCAAATTAAGCAGGAAAAATACAACATGACGCTGATAATCTGCAATGTGTTATTTAATTTTATTTAATTTGTGAAGATGGAAAAGTGAATGTTTATTGCATGAATAAATTAAGAAATGTTTCTAATTTTTTTCTTTTTTCTTATGGGAATAAACTTTTGTTTTCAGAAAACTTTTTAACTTGAAAGCGTGGTTGAATTCGATGAAATTAAGACATTTTCTTCAAATTTTCATATGACTCTGTTCCTAATTGGAAAATTGATAAATTTGGAAAGCTCTGATTACTAAATTATCTCAATGAACGTTTTTCGATATTCACAAGGCGAGGCTGATTAATCGTAAAGCACGTAATTAAACGCTGGAATGCTCGTGAAAAAAATGCAAAATCCAATCCCACACTTTCAGTAGACCGGAACATTTTCCAACAATAAGTAACTTAACTGTTTATTTATGCATGCAAGAATCGTGTAAAGAGGAAATGTTTACATAGAGTACATACATAGTAATTATTGAAACTATAATATCTTGGTCGTAATAACATAGATATAAAATCCAGGCGAATTATTTATTCATAGCCGACACGAAGCTATCCTGATTTCTCCTTTGTCAAGAATAATAAAGAAAGGGTTTCAAGAATCGATAACAGGAAGATCGAATTGTAGAGTTTAAAGGGCAAGTGAGGCGAGTGCCAAAAATAAAAATTACTCCTTCTGATGAAGATAAATGTAATTTCCATACTAAATACGATGGTAAACACTGTGAGAATGATTTATTTTAGCTTTCAGAACTATCGCAGGACAAAAGTAGTTGCCAAAATTAACAAACCTATGTTTTCTATTTATACTGAAGATCTTCGTTTATGCACTCGCGTCGTTTGTCATTTTAACTTCTTAATTATCATCGATTACACGCGATTTGAACCTCATCGGTTACAAAAGTGTTTTAATTTAAACAATTGTAAACTACTTAAATTTATCTGTGTACATTCTATATTGGTTTTAATAGTATCTATCGATATCTTTTATCGCGCGAAATATGAAGTTCAAATTAAAAGTAGATAGGGTAAGATTAAGTGACCTAATCCTAAATGTTGCAGGCACCTATGACTCAACGATACCAGTTGAGAATTAAGAAAAGGATTAAAGAAAGTACTTCTCGAAACTTTCACCTTATCCGTCCGATTACTCGACGTATTGAATATCTTTGAAAGCGTACTTGTCGTATCATCTTTATCTGAATGTAAAAGACCTGAAAAAGTTCAAGCACCGGCAGATATGCGGTTGGTATTCAGTTTGCGAGTCACACAGGCAAACCGTATCCGCAATCCTTGTAAGTTTATCCTCTTAAGAAGCTACTTGCGGTGTACTTTTATGCGGTGCTCGGTTGGTACAAAAGAAAAAAGAGTATCAATGAGGAGAAAGCCCATTTCGAGGAGACAACTGTCTTCGGCTTGCATCGTCAGGGGCTGTTCAGCCACGAAGCACACGTGCTGTTACGCAATTGCTCCTCGCGGTGTTAGAAAAACAAACGGTGGAAAGAGAAATAATTAGTGGGACACGGGTGGAAATGTTTGAAAAATTCGTCGACCAAGTGTTACACTCCTATGCAACGTTATTAAGTCCAGAAGGGAAATAAATAAAATTGAGTGGACTGAACTGGTTGTAATAATCGAATTTAGACAGTAGTCTAGATTGATTAAAGATATTTGATTAAAAGTTCTTTGATTTTAGACATAATAAATGTGTTATTCGGTATTTGAAATATTGCAATTTAATAATTATCGAGAAAACTACATTAAAGAAACTTGAAAATTAATAGTTAATCCCGATGAGTATTACGATTTAAAGGTGAAATACCATGTAAAAAATGGAACGCTAAAGGAATTTGGAAATGAAGAGCAGTCGATGATTGATAATATTTCAAGTACCGTTAGACGTAATGATATACCGAAAAGATCGGTGTATAGAATACACTCGATGTAAAAATTTCAATCGAGTATTATAACTCCATGGGACTGGTAAATAGCCACGTTTTGCGCTGCTATCCAAACATCTCAGCACCCACGATAATTCCCACTGACGCACACGATTTAACATCCACTTTTGACCACTCGACATGATTCGAGAAATCAGACACACCGTGTAATGATGACAAGGCATCGGTAGACGTCGTAGAAAAGTAGCCTTGACGTAAACAAGCTTTGCCGGGAATGAAAACAACGGTACTCCCTTCCTACTTCTTCAAGCTGGAAGAAGAAGCTGGCTTGCAACGTCTTTCGACTTGGAAATCATGCACAGAACTGCAAATTTCCGGTTAATTATCAATAAAGCAAGACCACATGGAGTATCATCCTCTTACGTATACCAAATGATTCAGTAAAATCATTTATTCGCCACTCACTGCGTCCATCGACTTCCGTTGGGACTTGAAATCTGAATAGACTCCTTGTCTCGGGCCTTTGACACGAACACGCGTTTCTCTGAAGTCAACAATTAAGTTTATCGTAATCGCCGATTCGGCTGACACAAATTCGCTTCAAGGTGGATCAACCATCGGGGCATAAAGATCGCCACGAAGAGCCAAGGTTGCAAAGGGGACGCGAAGACGTAGAGTTTGATCTATGTGGAATTGACAAAAACAAAGCAGATCAGGGGCGGAAGAGGCACTGTTGAACAAAGAATGAATAATTAAACGGTGGAACGCGCGATCATGGATGGCGAAGATTCCATTATTATTGCCCGATTCCCGTAGTAGCAGGAAAGACTAAAAAGCCGTAACGTGGAATTTAACGAGTCTCGAACCTGCCTTTAATTAATTAAGCCAGACGTGACGCCAGTGGAATTGCAGCTCGCGCCGTGGAAACCTCGTTGTCGCGGACGCTAGTCAACGTGAACTATCCCGGTTCAGGCATTCGCTCAAATTTCGACGAGTTTACCAGCATCTATAGTTTCGTCGATGGAGAACCGAGCAAATCGGATTTCCCTTGATAAATCCTCGTTTTTATCGTCGCCGCGCTCCGAATTCCGCGCGTCGGTCTTGATAAACGAGCTTTATCCAACGCCTTGTCTTTGGTAATTTGTGTAACGAGAGAAGATTGATTCTTAAGGGACTGCTATATTGTAAGTCGAATCGATAATTCCTTGCAGTCGATAAGAGATAATTGATACTGACTGCCTGGCTCAGGGGAAAAATAATGGATGTTGCGTTTTTTTAATTTGAGGTTAGTCCAAGTTCGGTAGAAAAATAATACGATTGTACGTTGCTGTACATACTCGTAAAGGTCTGGTAATTTATAATAATCCTCTAAATAAATACGGATCCTAAATATTGATTTGATACTTATGTCATATTTAAGGGAAAACGAACTTGCTCCACTTTTTCACTAAGTCATTGGAATATTTTCACCCGCACAATTTTAACTTGGAAATATCTTCTTTTTGTTAAATCAAATGTACATCTTCAAGCATTAATAACGAATTAGAGTAGGTTTGTCACGTGTAATTAATCTTTAATGTGCTGTATATCAAATTAGGACGAATGAATAAAATAAAACAAGCCTTCATAATATTGACATAACCGTGCGTCCTTTATAATTTACGGAACTCCGTCTTGTTGTATAGCAGTCAGCGTTTAGTATCGAAATAATCTTATTTATCAAATACATCTAACGATAAAGATCTAAACGAAACACGATCATTGATTAATTATCACGGAGAATGCTTTCGTTTTCGATCTTACTCAACGTAAAAAAGAACAACACGACACGAAACCGTCTTTGTCAACAATAGAACCAGACTAGATTTAACGTAATTCACGGCGCAACCTCGATGAGATATACTTACTCGCACGGTTGTCTAGTTTGTTTGGTACTCGTGTATTTAAATCGCAGTATTTAGGGAAGAAACAAAAATAGTTTGGCTGATTTAACTGTTGAAAAAAGAATTGCGAAAACAAGAGTGGAGAAAGGTTCGTTAATCGTGTCCGAGCGAGTCAAGGTAGTTGTGTGACGCCGTGAAAGCGACGCCGGCGAGTCGCCTCTTTCACTGGCATCGTTGCCAGCGCGACGGTCGGTCGAAAATCCGTTTAATATTGACGAAAATATAGAAAAACGTATAGAACAAATCGTATCCTGTTTTTCCATGTATCATGGAGCCCTTTGAATAGTTTTTAGACGCACTATTACACAAACAACACTAGGAGAAATGGTAAGAGACGAGCATAATGGCAACGTCGAGACTTCCCCGATGAGGTGGCACAAAATTCCCACGAAAATTCCTCGGTCAATATTATCATGGCAAAAGGTAATATTAAATATGTATTAGTACAACTAACCGAAGAGCGTATTATAGAACGATGAGTAAGTGAAAAGAAAAAAAGTGAGTTAATGGAATCACCACGTGACAACACGAGTCCTTTCTACGGATACTTTAAAGATGAACTACTGGCCACGTCTTTCGAAGTCGGCGCTCTTCGCGATCGTCGTTGATCATAGCAATAGGAGAGAGTAAATATACTATCTGGAATTGTAGCTAGTCTCATGAGGGGGCCATACGGGTACACACACAACGTGCGGTATGTGGTGGCAACTGGCGCGCCACGGGTTCATTGTCCCGTGTGTGCCCGTGGTGGAAGCCCCTCGTTGAAAAGGAGGGCCCGTGTATCGGGCGTAATATGTCGACGAAATATCGGACAATATAGTGAACTTACCAGTCGTCCAACTTGATCAGTTCTTCGGGCTTTTTTGTCTTGTGATCGGCCTTGAGTCTGAGGGCCTGCGGATAAAGCTCCAAGACGTGTTCGAACTGACTCGCTGTGCCCTCCACGAAGAAAGTTGCTGTGTCTTTCACGGAAGCCATTGTGATAACTGAGCTTCGACAAACGGCCGTTGGGGCGCAGCACTATCGCCTCTGTGCACTATACACGTCTTCGTCGCTCCCCCTCAAGAGTCTCTATCCTCTTCTTTCCTCTCCTTCCTCTTCTATCCTCGTCTAGCGGTGTCTCGCTTTCTTTCCTTCTCCCTCTCTCACTTTTCCGTACACCCCTCTCCGCGCGTGCCACGGGAGAGGACCGACCACGCGAGAAATCCTATTTTACCCTCTGACTCGTTCGAATTCTCTCGGTTTCACCGGCGGCGGTGATACGCGACACACGCGTGGGACGCGTTCACGATCGGCGCACACACAGTCGGTCAATGAGAGAGAGAATATCGACGATAGCACGCGTGTAAAGCGGACTTCGCTGCCAGTCTCTCTCTGTCTCTTTCTCCTTCTGGCTGTTTTTCGATTTCCTTGAAAGATATTTCTTCACGTTTCCAGAATAATGTTCTAGCTTGATACTACCCACGATATATTATACGTACAAGGAAAATGTTTACACGAAACGTAATGTGGTGCAGAGCTACGAGGTCTCGTGCGTACACTCTCGTAAGGGAAAATCACCGTAGTTACACGCCGAGAACTCGCCTTCGGACCTCGTTCGACTGTCCCGGGTGGGGAGCGCGACTCGACGTCGCCAATAGGGAGCAGCACTGCTCGGCGTGTTTCTGACTTCTCTCTTTTCCCCTTGATCCCTCTCTCTCTCTCCGTCACGTCCTTCCACCTCTTTCCACCACCCTTATTATTTGTACCGAAAATTTCAACCGTTGCGTGCGAGCACGCACGCACGAGGATCAACGATACGGGATGACGATAAATGATAGAATCAATATCTATGAGAGGAATATTGCACTTTGACTCCTCTGAAGTCTGAAGACAAAAAGGAGAACGTGCAAGATACGCGGCAATCGGAACGCAAAGAACCTCCTTTCTCCTCTCAAGTCTCTGTCGAGCACTTAAGAGCACCCGTGTTTCCCTCGGCGCCAGATCCTTCCTCTTTTTTCCCTCGCTCTCTCAGAGAGCTTCGTACGAATGCATGCGGTTTCCCCGCCGGATATCCGCGAAGTATAGACTGTCTCCCCCACCTCTTAGTAGTTCTCGTACACGCACGTATGCACCGATCTACGAAGGAACTCTCGGAATACACACGGTCCTCGCGTACTTCAATCGTCCGTCGCGCGACTATACACGCGCGTTCCGCAAGGGTACGTACCCCCTTCTCGCTCTATTTACTCACGATCGTTTTTGATCCTCCCGTTTGTCAGAATTCGTTGTCCGGACTATTCCTATATAACTGTTCGTATACCTTCGTGTCGTGCAGGAAAATTTTACGCTGAAGCGTCGACGAAATTCTGTTGACGATCTCATCGACGGCAACGGTGACGGTGATGACGAGAAGACAACAAGGACAGCGATGAACGGTCGCCGTCTTTTTCCCTCGCGAGAAACGGCCTCGGTTTAGCTCCACCACACGTCCGCCTCCGTACGAATCCACGTTCGATGGCTGTATACGCGCGCCTGCCTCTGCACGACTCCTCACACTATGTCTCTCTGTCTGCCTATTTGGATGAGCGCGTGTGAGTGCGCGCGCGCATTCACGACCGACCGAGCGAGCGAGCGAAAGAGCGGGCAGAACGAAGCTCGAAGCCTTCACTCGAAAAACGGGAACACACGGAGTGTAGTGCGCGCTTAGGCAAAGCCACGTATAGCCAATCGCTTGCTCTCTCTGTATGCTGACTGTAGTGAAACGTCCGACCGACTGAGGGCAGCGCCTTCGCTGCCTTCTGCTCGTCCCCTTTTCCTCTTGCCTCTCGGGACTGTGCACCACCACTAAAACGTCCGACCCTATATCTCCCCTCTACGTAGATCCGCTCCCACTCGGTCGTTAGCTCTCTCTCTCTCTCTCTCTCTCCCTCCTCTCTCTTTCTTGCGCGTGTGAGTGCGCGCGCGCATTCACGACCGACCGAGCGAGCGAGCGAAAGAGCGGGCAGAACGAAGCTCGAAGCCTTCACTCGAAAAACGGGAACACACGGAGTGTAGTGCGCGCTTAGGCAAAGCCACGTATAGCCAATCGCTTGCTCTCTCTGTATGCTGACTGTAGTGAAACGTCCGACCGACTGAGGGCAGCGCCTTCGCTGCCTTCTGCTCGTCCCCTTTTCCTCTTGCCTCTCGGGACTGTGCACCACCACTAAAACGTCCGACCCTATATCTCCCCTCTACGTAGATCCGCTCCCACTCGGTCGTTAGCTCTCTCTCTCTCTCTCTCTCTCCCTCCCTCCTCTCTCTTTCTCTCCCTCCTCTCTCTCTCTTTCTCTCTCTCTCTCTCCCTCTCTCTTCTCTATTTATCTATCTATGTATCTATATATCTCTCCCTCTATCTATCTATCTATCTGTCTATTTCTCTTTCTCTTTCTGTCTCACTACTTGTCTCTCTCTTTTTCCCTCTTATCCCTGATCTATCTTTCCTAGTACGTAAAACGTAGGAATGGAAGTGATGGATTGCGTTTTATCATATATAATATCTCACACTGAAATTCGTTCGTCGTTTTGACGACAAACTGTATTATTTCTCGTGCGACCCCTCTTCGTGGACTCTCACGAGCAGCGGACGCGCTCGATACCTCCTCGTGAAGGCGCGTACCGTTCGCTCGATCGCGCTGGGTCGTCCGACTGGAAATCGATGCTAAAGCCGGGGTAGAGGCGCGCCAGTGGTGCCGTACCACGGCTGGCACACCGCGTGCTCTAACACAACGTCGATACTGTTGTGTGCGCGCCTGAACACACCGTCACACTCTATACTGAGCAAGGTTAAATGGTGTTGGTAGACAGGGTCGTGTACACGGGCGGAGTTGTGTGCAACGCGTCACGGCTACGGATATACATACGTGTGCGCCAGAAGTGGCTCGAATACGCACAAAAGGGCATATGCGGAAAGAAGACTCTTGCAACCCTTGTGGGATACGAACATTTTGAAAAAGTCTGCATGCTTTGAACACTCCCAAAAGGGCGACGATTGGACGGCTGCAAAGCGTAGAGGGGGTAAATGTGTTTTTTCATGCTTGTGGAGGAAGATCACGAGACGGATGCCGGAGCCGTTGCGAAACGAGCGATTTCACAATTTTGTAAACGCGACGACATGCGCTGTACTTCCGTGCTTACGAGCTTAATGACGTTCGTTCTGCGAATCGGCGAGTTGAAACTCAATTAAGGGGACACGCCATAGGATTATCGTTCTTTTTCTACAAATATTTCTCGAAAATATTTTCCGGCTCTTTTTATAAAACTAATCGAATATTTTAATAATAATAACCTCAAAAATTGAATTTGTTAATCTTCAATTGCTTTTTACTTTCTCCTTTATTCTAACAATTCGTTAATTTTACATCTTCTACTTCTTCCTCACTAGTGTCCGTGACCATCGTACAAAATTGCAAGTAGCAGAGAAACTTATGGTTGTTCTTCGAAACTTTTGCTACATGTATGTATCTCGTGTAAGGGTTTGCTCTGCTATGTCGTGTGTGTGCATATACGTAAAAGAACAGGCGTTCTTTGTAACCTAGTATACTCCAACACCATCGTACACTATATGCTACGCTGTGTGGTAGTTGCTGCCATATAATCATTCATGTGCTAGTGTTAGTCGACGATACCGGTGTATTCGTGTATACTGTATATCGTCGTGGGATCTCGCTTCGCCGTCAGCCCATGAGTACCATAGCGAACGGCTCACTACCAATGTCAGCATCACCACTACTGATGCACTGTATAGCTGCTATAGTCAGTCGAGTGTACTGGTGGAAAGTGCCGAGCGAGCGCTTGCGCTTCGGTAACTTTCCATTGTCGTTGCTTCTGCACGGCAAGAACGAAGAAACTTACCGAGAATCTTTCGAAACTTTGGAATCACGAACTGTTACCCTAACCTCTACGTATCAAGAAAACATAAAATTTAAACAATTAGTTTCTTTTCGATAATATTTTTTTATTTTAGAGTTTTAAAATGTAGTATCAGAAATGATTTCGTGACTGTGTTTGAAATTATGTACTTTTCCTTTAACGTGCATCCAAATTCAGAAATTTTATTGCATTTTCTTTACTTTAGAAAACAGAGTGAAAATTAGAATTATTTTAAAAATTCTCGAATACTTATAGCTTTCAATGGTAAGTATAAAGGTTATAAGAATTAGTGTGTGCCTATTGAATTTTGAAATCTGAGGGATCAGCGCCAAGCGAAGAATTTAAAGCTTCGCCAGGTATGCGCGCATGAACAATAGTACAGGTAGTCGGATATTGAGTGGCGGGGGTTGTATGAAAGTTTGATTTATTTTCAATGGTGATCAAAACGTTTTCAATAATTATTACTTATTGAAATTAACAGTACTTCATTTAGCTACAAAAAAATAAAAATTTATAAATTATATTCCATAGTATTTCAAATGAAAATTAAAATTCCTGCAGAGATAATCATCATACTGAAAAATTAAAAACTGTTAACAAATTGTAATATTTTAATTAAAATGGGATTTAATTAAAACATGAATGCCTGGCCGAATAATTAGATTGAAGGATATTAAATCTCCTCTTATTTACCATTAGATGAGATATACTCAAAATATTAAAATCGTAAAAGGTAAGGTAAAAAATTATTGTTTCAATGATATTTTATAAGAGCAAATTTGCTGTTTACGCGATTTTAAATGTCCATAGGGAGAGGCGAATCTCGTAATTAATACGCGGGGGAATATTCGGTGGTGAGAAACGACCGATTACTGGAACTCAACCCCGTAGGCCTAGCATGAGTTACGGGTAATGTTACGGGGGGACGGACCGAAGAGAAAGACGAAGAGAAAGGCCGGTTTTCTTCTGAAGCGCGTTTTAGCAGGCAACAGAACCAGGCAGCCGGCCATAAGCCCCGCATCATGGCCGTCGACTCACCGTTATGTACGGAGTATCGGTGAAGCCCTCGTGCCCCCTATACAAAAGAGAGAGGCCCGACCCCCTCTGTCCCTCGGGCGCTTGAAATTCAACCCCGGCACTGCCTGCTGCTGCAGGGTTGCCAGATCGTGTTGCCACGGACGCGAGGTTGCAGCGCGCCGTTATCGATGCTTACCGCACACCCGGACAATCACCTAACCTCAAATTCAGCTGTAGAACGAGTGTAGCTCGGTTCTGTTATCAACAGCGTCGAGCCTCAGGACACCCCTGTCTAAATTGAATGAACGATTGTCAAAGGCATCGAAATAACCATTAAATATTCCTGTGCGTTTTTTCATGTGGATGAATATTTGTCGTTTATGTTTAGTAGTGTGTTATAGAAATCTTCTACTATTATTTTTTGAATGAAAGTGAAGAGAGCGAATTACATTAAGAAAAGAAAATGCAAACAATTTTATGATGGAGTTGCAACGGTATTCAAAGCTATGCCATTGTTTGCAAGATCCCGGATCTAACATTAGGTATACATTACTGCGAAACCTACGCCCCATAGATCCAGCATTTTTCTGTTGGTGTTTCTAAAGAGCGACCTGTAACCCGCTAATTATTTGTCGTCAGCAACAGGTCACTCTTTCGTGTCTACGTTTTACCTGGAAGTTAGTGCGTGCCTTATAGAATAGTAAGAACGTCACGTATATATATACCTATTTAGTATATTATATATTTCCTTTTTTTGAACAGGGTAGGATGGAATATTTTCTTTCGTAATTTTTGTTATCTTTTGATATATTCCTTTTGTATGTAAATTATATATAAATTTGCTTTCATACTTGTCAAAGACCTCCGATTCAAAATTCAATGAACTACAGGAACAAAGGAACTTTACACAAAAACTAATTTTAATATACGAATAACTTTAGTCACGTGTTTTATTTCAAATTCTATATGCAAAAGTTAGAAAAAAACGAATAATTTACGATCTAAATGAAGGTCGTCGTCAAGCGCAAGCAGGAAATGCAAGATCATTTTTCTGCGAGATTTAAAGAGCCGAGCGTTCTGAGAAACTTCCAAGCGCACGTGAAACGGGAATAAAGGCAAATTTTTATTCGTCGATCACGGCAGACGTGAAATTGTGACTAACGGAAGAGAACAATGGAAAAAAGATCGAAAGGTATAGTCGTGACTGCATAGCAGCGTATCGTGGCTCGAAATACGCCTCGCATGCGGACTGACTATTGCTGCGTTCGATACGAACACGTGTTCCCGATGCGGCTGCTATACGACATTGTCGCGAAGTGACATGTGGGCCACGGTGCGGCAGAATGTGTGCGGACGGAGCATAAGGCCAGGCTGTTGAGGGACGGGCACGGAGCTCCGCTTTATCGTGGGCCAATCC